AGCTCCCTCCCCCCCCCACCCTGTGACACCCCCGCGGCAGCTCCCCATCCCCCCGGCCCGGGGAGCCATGCAACACCTCCCCACCCCAGCTCACCTCTGCTCTGCCTCCTCCCCGGCACGCCACCCCCGCTCTAATTCTCCTCCCAGGCTTGCAGCACCAAACAGCTGATTGGTGCTGCAAGCCTGGGAGGCGGGAGAAGTGGAGCAGCGACTGCGTGCTCGGGGAGGAACGCTGTAAAAAAAAAATTGGGGGCACTGCTTTTTGGCGCCCCCAAATCTTGGCGCCTTAGGCAACCGCCTAGTTTGCCATAATAGTAGCACCAGCCCTGCCAGCATCTGAGACAATCAGGCCATAAGGCCTTGGAAATGCACGTGAATGGGACCATTCCAAGGACCAAATTCTGCTCTCCATTCAATCCGGGATTGAAACTTGTGTAACAGAGTAGAACTGGGCCCTACATCTCTAACACCCCTATTGGCAACTCTGACTTACAGAAATCCTGCAGAACTAGAGCTGGGCCCAAGCCAAAACCTGGGATCCAAAAGTCACCCAACATTGGGAAAGTTTGGATTCCAGCAATGCAACTTTGCCTGTCTAAAATAATCACGGCCATAAGAGTGCTCACCGTCCACAGGCAGAGCTGAAGAGCCGGAGGGAACCACCGCATCTGTCTGGTTTCAGCAGCCTCAGTGAAAAGTCCTCTTTACAGTGGTTCTGGTCCAGTCCTGCCTTGTTTGGACATTGCAAGGAGGAGGGGTCTAGCTGACCCAACTTCTCCAACCTCAGATAAGGCTCATCTCAAGTTCTCAGTGCAGGGTTTGGGAAGGGGGATTGCTTCCTTGACCCTGTTCAAAGCCCCCCACCGCCCCAAGAGTCTCTGAAAGCTGTTTGGCTAGATGCATAAGTTGAACTCCTCACCTTACCCTCCACCCTTTCTTTCTGTAGTGCCACTCCCCACACGCTGCCTAGGAAACAAATTCTCCTTGCCTTTCACCGTCACGGAGATGCCCATCGAGGCTTCCCTCAAGGAGTTCCTCTTCTTCCACTTGCCATCATCTATGTTGTACATCTCCACTATCTTCAAGGGCGTCTGGTTCATCCCGACCCCTCCTATCACCATGATCCGCTTGCCCAGGGTGGCCACGGCTACTCCGGCCCGGGCCGTGGGCATGGGAGGGAGAGAGTTCCACTGGTTGGCTTCGGGGGAGTAAACCTCGAAGCAGTTCATGGGGACTCCGTTGTCGTCGCAGCCTCCGATGGCAAAGACCTGGCCGCCTGCCTCCACCAGCGAGCAGTAGACCCTGCCACTGGGGAGGGGTGCGAGGGTTTTCCATTGGAAATCTTTGGTACTGGGCACTTCCATTGCGGATCGTCAGGGATGAGGCAGCATCTGTCCTGCCTGCCAGAGGGCTGGCTAAGCTGCAAAACACAGCCAGAGACAAGCATCACACACAGGGAAAACAAGCAGAGAAATATACAAAGAACCCCCCCCCCCACCAGAGAGCCGGGCACACAGCAACCCCTTCATGAGCAATGCATCTATTTCCACGCAGCCGTCCATAATGAGAGGTCCCATCTACCACAGAGAGACAGAGAGAGAGAGAGAGAGAGAGAGAAGCAGGAGCCGGTACCTTTCATCACGTCTCCATTAATCCTGCAGTTCCACATCTGCCAGAGCAGCTCACGCACAGCCAGGTCCTAAAAATAAAAGGCACAGGTTGGATTCAGCTCGCTCCCCCCTTTTCTGAGCATCCCCTCCCCCACAGGACATTCCAACCGAGGATGCTGCAAGCTGTCAGCTCCCCGGCTCGGTGCTTCCTTGGCTCATTAGGAACTTTTCTTTCTTTAATTCTTCATTGACAAGATTATTATTAATGACCATTGTCAACATCTTCCCAAACCCCCAGGGGGAACCTACTATGGTACCTCCTGCTGGGAAAGGCAAAAAGGCTGGAGTACAGAGACCAACCCTCCAGCCACAGCTCTCTGACTGTCACACGCAGTATTACAGCTGAACTGTAAAAGATCCAAAAAGCAGCCCAGCAGGACAGAGTGAGAGTCTCAAACTACCATTGGAAACCAGGGATTATTTTTTCCTCTCGCTCTGAATAGCTGTCAAACCTTCAGATGAAATGAACAAATGAAGAGCGACAGAGGAGAGGAGACACACAGAAGGGGATCGAGAGAGGCAGCCACCCACGCACTCACACCTGTGTATAAATAGGTGTGCAAACCACAGTGAGAAACTCAGCCTTCGTTATGTAACCCAAGCTGCTGGCGAGTTTAATCGTAAAGTAAAGTAGGATTTATATATCCCATCACTCTGGGACTGTATCATCCTCAACACACACAGTATACAGAGCACAGGCACACTTCTGGCTCCAGGGGCCATGCTCCTCTCCAAGTGTCACAAACTGATCCCTGAAATTCAGGCTTCTAGCAATAATGGATATTTGCCACTATCAAAGTAGAGCACATGTGGTGGTTTATTAGCCTATATGGGAAACCTTTCCCCACCTAGCATTGTAATGCTTCGTACTTATCCTTTATAGTGCTTTCCAGGGGAGCTTCACAAAGTAACATTATCCCCATTTGAAAGAGGGGCACAGAAAGGTGAAGTGATTTGCCCAAGGCCACACAGCGAGTCAGTGTCAGAGATGGGGAAAGAACCCAGGAATCCGGACTCCCGGCGCGCAGGGCTATCTGACTTGGTCCCCACTTCCTCTGGAGCTTTCAGGGATCTTGATGCATGTGAGATGCAACCTGAGCCTGCTCCTCTGCACGGTTTCGTTTTAGAGAAGCTAACGCCCATCACCTCTTCTCAACCTTCTGGCTAAGACTGAACATGGCATCAGTTTAAGCCTCGGATACCGTGATTGCCCTATTGTGGGGGGGAACTCTCTCCTGTTTGTGATGGGGAAAGGGGTCGACTCAATGGCCTAATGGCGCTTTCCCATCTATTTCAAAGGTAAGATAAGGGCAAGCCCTAAGCCCAAGCAAAGCCAACAACTGGCTGTGGTCCCGGCTTTTTAGGGGCAAAGCCCAGCCCCACACCCCTCTGCATCAGCAGGAGCAGAGGGAGAGGAAACAACTTGCTCCCAGACACTCCTGCACGCCCCATTCCAGAAGCCTGAGCTCACACCACCACTTGCAGATCATGGCTCTGCCCAAAGGCAGCGGCTGGGATGCCCCTTGCCACTGCCAGAACTAGGAGCTATCACAGAACTCCAGAGAAGATATGTCCGCAGCACCTCCTACTAACCCACACCACGTCTCATGCCATGCCTGGCATTGCTTCCTAAGGAGCCAGGCCTCCCACATTAGAAGTCCCTGGTTGCTTCTGGGCCGACAGGGCTGTCCACACACACACACAACGGGTGGGAAGTACTTACTCCTCCAGTCCCGGCCACATTGCTTCAGATCTCCCCAACTCAGAACCCTTTGACAGTGAGAGCAGATTGAGAGAGCCTGTAACCTAGCAACAGCCACCTACAACTCCCTTTTAATCACCCATCATTTCTGATCTGAGTTGCTATCTTGATGGGTTCACTGAACCGCACTGTGGAGCATGAGCAAATTCTCCCCAGAAGGAAAGAGGGGCAGAGGTTCTTAGCGCCAAAGGAACCAGGGCTATCAGAAAGGCTCTGCATGGCTGAAACTTTCCAGCCTGAATTCAGTGCTGTGGCAAAGGACAGAACTGATAGCCCTGCTGTGGCATGGTCGGTAGAGCATACAGACCTGGTTTCTGTGCCCAGCTCTGTCACTGACCTGCTGGATGTCCTTGGGCAAATCACTTTGCCTCTGTTTTCCCCATCAGGAAAGTTGGGATACTGATAGTTTGTATAGCCTCGTGAGATCCACGGATGGCAAGTGCTATAGAACGCAAGCGATTATTATTATTTATCCCTGAGTGGGTATAGAACTGGCATCAGCAAAGCAAACTTCTCACCCACTGTCCTGCCATCATTTGCTAGCCTTGATCCGTAAGGACCACCTGCAGGTGAGCTCAGTCTGCCTAGCCCAATCACTGCTTAGCTTCTTCACTGCCAATAGAGGGAGGGCAACTGTGATGCAGACAGTTAACTACTGACAACTGGACTGAGGTCCATCAAATTCATTTCACACATGAGCTGCTAAATAGTCTTCCAACAGCACAGCATTGTCCAGATCTTAACCGGCAAAGTAAAGCTGAGGTTGGTTTCTTTTTTAAAAATGTAAAATTGATAAATATTATAGAATTCTTATATTGTGCTTTACATCAGGAGATCAAAAGGTTGTTTTTTTGCAATTCAACCTTCCAATTTACATGTTTATAGAGCGGATCAAATAATATTAATTGGATAAGCTATTGTCTTTATGCATTATCAGTGCTTAATTTGTAAAGAAAGATGTGTCAGAGCTCAAAATGGAGTCTGCCGCACACCATCACCTTGCACGCACCGTAGGCGCAAGGTCACACTGTGCATGCAAGTGTCGAATTGCATGTGTTACTAAACACCACTGACAGCAGAGGTGCTGTGCTGAGCCCGTGCAAGCTCCGACACAAATTAAGCTCTGTGCGTTACTGAGATTGTAAGCGTTTTGGGGCAGGGACCATCTTCATTATGGGTGTGTTTATATATAACCTAGCAAAACTGGACCTTGGATCAGGACATCTAGGCACTCGCGTACTACAAATTAACCTGTAATAACAATAAGTTAAAGCATTTTGTGAATTATTTGATCACTGAGAGATTCAAACAACAACTAGATCCTTATGTGGTGTAAGTCAGCATTGCTTCATTGTCTCTTGAATAATAGATGAACAATTCAATATTTGTCAAATATATAATTTCACTCCGAATTTGATCAGCTCTGTGGTTTTTATTCCTTCCCCACCCTCCTGTACCTTGGTGGCTTGGAAGCCCTCGTTTAACGTTTTCACCTGTAGTTTATTTTACACCATCACAATAGAACCAGCATGGCCCAGCAAATAGGGCATTGGACCAGGAGACTTCAGTTCTATTTCCAGCTCCGCCACTCACTTGCTGTGTGACCTTGGATAAGTCACTTCCCCACCTATAAAGAACTAAGCATTATTATCCCAAACATTTGGCAAAAGCAGAACTTCAGCTCAGGTGCCAGGGAACAGTATTATTTAACCAACCAATTCCTCTTCCCATGTGGGATGCAACTTATTTTCCAGCAGTTTAAAAACTAGCCACTTAGACAAGGTATCAGTGGCAAATCCTCTTCCCATTACCATACTATGAGGTTTCAGCTACACTGCTCTTTAAGCTGATTTCAGGAACCGTGTTTAAACATGATTCCAACTAAACTAGATTCTGCCATGATTTGACCTTTGAGAAGCCCAAAGCATCTGAAGCCCAAACTAAAAATGATTAGCCAGATCCTTAGCTGGTATAAATCAGCATTGCTCCACTGATGTCCACAGCATTTAAGACCGCCTAGCTTCACTGATTTCATTGCCAATTTACACCAGCGGGGGGACTGGTCCCAATGTTCTAAACCAGGCTTTCTGAACAAACTTCGACCCCAGGAACTGTGGCTGGGCAAACTGTGTTACTTAGAAACCAGCTAGAACGGGGTTAAAACTAATGTTAAGTTCCCAAATGTGGTTTAAGGGTGAATGTACTCAGAGCTTAGCAGCTACCTCTGTCCCTGCCTGGGGTGGGAGACCCACACTAATATTGTTACTGTAATGGGAAGTACAGTCGCAGCACACTGAGGCATCAAGACCAAGAGTTATAACCCTTTCAGTGCCTTTGGCAGCAGTCTGAGCTGATCAAGCTTCCCTGTGCTGAGTCAGCTGCAAAGATCCTTATTGGAACAGGAGAAGCATAGGGTTCCGAGGACTTTGTGCAGTTTGGCCTGAAAGAAGCAGATTTTCCTGCATATGATTCAGTGGGTGGTCGTTCCAGGGTCAGCATGGGGGGAGGGATAACTCAGTGGTTTGAGCATTGGCTGGTTAAACCCAGGGTTGTGAGTTCAATCCTTGAGGGGGCCCATTTAGGGAACGGAGGTAAAAGTCTGTCTGGGGATTGGTCATGCTTTGAGCAGGGGGTTGGACTAGATGACCTCCTGAGGTCCCTTCCAACCCTAATATTCTATGATCAAAACTGAGACAACAGGGCCTAGGAGCAAAATCGAAGGTAACCCAAACGTAAAGGGAGGCAACGTCACAATCCCACAGTCTGTATTCAGCTGTCTCATTAGGGAATTTCAATAGTGGTGAAAATGAGAGGATTGAGACCACCACACAATGCAGACATTCACTATGCAAGCTTCTTTCAGCCCACAGGGTCCTGCTAGTTCATCTCCCTCCTGACCTGCAGCAATCTGATTACTCCAGTCCTGAGCCTCCATACAGCCCTGCCAGTGCATCTCAGTCCTGAACTTGAGGAACCCTGCTTTCCAGTGCTGGGTTATTGACTCACCCCACAGCTTTGCGAATTGATCTCAGCCCTGACCTGAAGCCCCACACCCTGCTACTGCAGTAGAACCTCGATTTCACAAGCACCAGCCTTATGAACAACCAGTTATATGAACCATTTCCCCCCAAACTGGAGAAAAACATGGGAGAACAAGTGATTATGAACAAGTCGACATCCCTTCCCATTCTGATGCCTTCAGTGCTTGGGGAATCGCTTTGCCATGGCGTGAAGGACAAGACGAAAGCCACACAGTGCACCAGGCTGCAACTTATGCCCTGCATCTGCTCTATTTTTGAGCTGTTTGATTTTATGACCTGAAACCCCAATAAATTAGCAAAAGAGGGGTTCTACTGTACATACCAGGTCTAGGCTCCCCTACACAATGCACTAATGAGCCAATGCACCTCAACCCTCCCCTAAAGCCCCTCCCCCCCTTTTATTCATTGCTGGGATTCCCAGACAGTTCAGCCAGTGACCTCTCTTAATCCGGTCCTGGAGCAAACCCTGAGCCTCACACTTGGGCTTCAGAGACTCCCAATTGTGTCAGAGCACAGGAAAGTCATGGGCTTGATCATGGCCCCATTGAAGTGGACAAGAATCTTTCCACTGACTTCACTGGGCTTTGGATCAGGCCCATAGCGAGGACAGACTAAGCAGAGACCTGCCAAATTCATTCCAGTTGTGACCCACGTCAAATGGAACCCAGGCGTGGGCGTCCAAAGGGGAGCATCTAGTGCATCAATCTGCTACCTCGTATGAGTTTCAATGCCAAGGCAGAAGAATTATCTTCTAGCCTTGCCGTCTATCTCTAAACAATATACAATAAAAAAATAGTTAAGGTCAGCCTGAAACACTTAGTCCTTCCCTCCTCTCTCAAGGGGCACTAGGGTTTTCACTCCAAAGTAATAACTGTGCTGTGCCTCGGGACTGTATGGCTGTCACTAATGTGCTGAGCAAATAGCCCCAACCTACTTCAGCCATTTTCCTCTTCATCTACTCCCAGGCAAATGGAATTACCACTTAATTATACCAAACAAATTGGAAGTGTTAACATTTTCTTCCTAAATGGCTACATTAAAACAAAAATGAATAGTAATTGCTTTTCTATCAAAGGAGATGGGAGAGGAGAGATTCTCTTCGTCACGCTGAGCCAGCTGCCAGAGTTGCTCAAATCAGTCTCGCCCAGAAAGTGCCAGGATAAAAGCTCCTAGCAGTGGGGTATCCCTGGACCACTGGGTGCATTTGTGGTTCATAGCAGGTGACGAGGTGTTGAAAGCAAGGTGGCAGGGAAGGCCAGAAATTTACAACCTCAAGAAAGAAAAATACAGGGGGCCTGAATATGGGAGTGAAACGGATGGGAGCCGAGGATGCGCAGCAACTGAAGCCTCTAGTCCAGTGGTACTGTACCCCTGGGGGTACACAGAGATCTTCCAGGGGGTACATCAACTCATCTAGATGCTTGTAAAACTAGACAACAGGCTACATAAAAAGCACTAGTGAAGTCTGTACAAACTAAAATGTCATACAGACAATGACTTGTTTATACTGCTCTATATACTATCCACTGAAATGTAAGTACAATATTTATATTCCAGTTGATTTATTTGTATAATTATATGGTAAAAATAAGAACGGAAGCAAAAGTGTGCTGTGACACTGGGTATTTTTATGTCTGATTTTGTAAGCAAGTAGTTTTTAAGTGAGGTGAAACTTGGGGGTACGCAAGACAAATCCAACTCCTGAAAGGGGTACAGTAGTCAGGAAAGGTCGAGAGCCACTGTTCTAGGCCATAGTTTGTATCCTACAAGAGTTAAAAAAACAACCTGGAAGCTGTTACAGACAAAACCATTATTCCTTGCCCTCTGGTTTCCATCATGCTTTGAACAGGTCACTGTTTGGTATCTCGGGGGAGTGCAGAACATGCACAATTAATGTTACTTTTTAAATATTCAGCTGGCGTGACTCTATTGAAGTCAATAGAGCTACACAAAGTCACACCCGGCTGAGGATCCAGCCCCACCGTTTTTAAAGCAACGTTTATGATTTGCAGCAATTTGCTCTTTACAAAACAGCCATTTGCCATTTATTAAACAGCTGTGTGTGTTAAATATTGTAGTAAAGTGATTGTGTGTCAGTGTGTTGGGGGGGGGAGGGGGATGAACTCTGAACACACCTAGGTTTGCTAGAATGCAGGTAGGTCCTTTATGCTACCTCTCTCTTTCATAGAATCTCATCTCACACATATTTCAAAGGGCGTCATGCTCTAACGGTAAAATTCACCCCTGCGCAGTGGGCCAGAGCAAGACCTAAGAGCCACTTACGTCTTGAGTCTTCATTCCAATGAAAACAGCTTTGTTTGGATTTAAACACGCTCCTAAAGCATCAGCAAACCCAAACATTGTAGCCCTGTGCAAGTCAGTGCCTGAGAGCTGAGAGTGTAAACCTACTAGAGAATGACTGCAAAGGAAAGGGAGTCTCTTTTCACTCTCCAAGCTGAATGAAATGCACAAGGGTCTTAGATGTTGAAAAGTAAATGTGATGCTCACAATTCTTTTCATTTTATACCAAAGGTTAAGGAAATCTGGAGCTGGTACACCACTGCATGCTCCAAGCTGGTGGAATGATACCGATTTCCAAGGAGTTACAAGGCTTGATTTGCCACTGTTTCTTAAAAATACAGGGCTTCGTTCTGATCTCACATTGGTTGTACACAGGCGACTCTGAACTCTGCTGGCTTTGGTGGAGTTACTCCTGATTTACACTGGTGTCAATTGAGAGGTGAGTTAAGCCCATGACATCTGACAGAGTCCCTTCGAGGACCAAGATCCTAAAATATTACAGCTCCCCAGACTGGTTGCACGGTGCCAAGACGTGGGCTAGACAGACAGATGCAGATTAGCCACCAGCCTGACAAAGACACTAGAGAACCTATATTCCTTCTGATTCCAAGAGGAAGCTCTTGTACTCACCTAAATGTCACATCAGATAAGTGCTGTGCAGCTCTGCTGTGTGCTATCTGAACTGTCAAGGAGGTTTGAATGTTTTGCTGTGAATAATATGACAAACCAATACCAATAGCTGAATCCACAATTATTCTCAATACACTGGGGACTGTCACAGCAGCAGAGACAGGAAGACGGGCAACAATACGTTGGGAATGTTATGCAAACACTGGCAAAAGATCTCATCTCCTGTTCCCCAAGCACAGCATTTATGTTTCTGAGTGAGCTGCTTCATTTCAATTATACTGACTGCCTGCGTGCTGTTAAAAGGAGCAGGAGGAGACTACAGGCAGCATGGCTCGGAGATAGAGACACCGTCTCAAGGGAGGTACTTCAGGGCTGAGAACTGAGCTGATATTTGCTCTTCGAATGTCACCATCTAGGGCAGTGGTCCCCAACGCGGTGCCTGCGGGTGCCATGGCGCCCGCCAGGGCATTTATGTGCGCCCACCTACTGCCCAGCAGGGGAGAGAAGCTTCAGCCCCGCGCCTGCCGGGGACAGAGAACTCCAGGGCTGCAGGCTGCAGGCGCCGGTGTTCTCTGTCCCCGGCAGGCGTGGGGCCCGCCTAGTGCCCAGTAGGGGAGAGAAGCCAGGGCCCTGCGCCTGCTGGGGACAGAGTACT